CTGGGGGGTGCTTACCTCCTGCTCGCCCCCCCGCAGAACCTCGGCTGGGGGGAGGTGAAGGCTTCCCAGTAGGGTGGGAAGGTCTGGGAAGCACCTAACCCTAAATTCAGCACTTGTAAAAATCAGTTTCCCAGGAAAAAAAATATTTATTTTTTACTTACACCCATTTTCGAATGCATAGAAAAGTCTTTGTTTGAGTGTATGGATATGTGTTAAGCCTGTTTTTTATTAGCTAATATTATTAGCTAGACATGGAAATAAGATACGATTCATTTTTAATGGCTAACTCCCTAATGAACTACACAGTGGTCAGGCAGCCAGGGGGTGAAGCAAGACCTGCAAACCAGCCACACCAATTTTATCCTGTCTGCCACCACCATGACTGTAAATGGTGGCAGAGATGATGTTTTCATGGTCTTCACCAGATGGGTGCTGAGATCTGAGCCTCATTAGGTAAATGGTGGTTGTTTGTGCAAGGAAAAGATGTTTGAAGCATCGCTAATGACCAAGACTCTGACTCCTATGTGATGAAGACACGGGACACGTGATTGGACATGGAAATGTCTGTTTTCAGTAGCTTCAGACATGGAAATACCTATTCTCAGTAATAACCAGCCTTCACCCCTGTCTGTAGGCTTACCACTCAACTTTGATGGACTCTGACACCAAGCTAATTGGGAACATGGCACTGTTACCCATCAGAAGCCAGTTCAAAGGCCCAGCACCTCGGGAAAGTAAGTTTATAATAACCTCTGAAAACCTGCCTGTATATAGCTCATTCATCTCACAGTCTGCTCCTAGCAGTAGTGGCAAGAGAAGTCATGAGTTGCAAATGGAGGGTTTTGCAATTTACAGAGAAGGAAGAAGGTTTTCAAACACTCCACTTGCACAAATCCTAGAAAATAATTATGCACAGATAAATGCACGTGGTAGTCCAGCTATATGAGTTGTTTCAGTAATTAAAGCCAACGGTTGCTTCTGTTTTGCTTCCTCCTGTGTCTGACTGCCCTTCAGTAGGGTTGGAGGAGGATGTGGTGGTGTGGAGCCTCTGCTGGCAGAGGAAGTGGAGGTTTAGCTACAGAGGGTTTGCACCCTGGGTCTGCGGCTGACGACACTCGGCTGCTCTGAAGGACAGGGGGTGGGGTAGGCAGCACGTTAGGGTAGGAGGCTTCAGAAACTGGAGTTACAGGCATCCCAACAGAGCCCATGGGCAGCCTGGTGCAGATTCCCCTTCAGCACGTGAAGCTGCACTTCCCAGGCATGTTACCCCCTGGTAGTGTAGACAGGAAATGAAATGTTTCTGGATTTATGTAGTCTTGGCTGGTAGCGAAGGCAGGTGAAAGTCACAGGAGAGCTTGTAACTCTGTGTTCTGCTTCCCCTCCCTTGTTTTGAAGTGGGTTTTGAAGTTGTCCAGTTGTGCTGTTGTCCTTTCTCCAAAAACATTTTTGTGTCCTGAGAAGACTTGTGTACAACTCTTGTGAGTTACTCAGCTGGGGGAAGAAAAAGAAGGGAGCTAAAGCTCCTGCTAAGAGTAGGAAGAGTAAATATGATGGTCTGAGCTCACCAGTGCTTCATATGGCAGTGACTGTTTCCTGTTACATAGTTCTATTTTCTGCTTTTTGTAAATACCAAGGTTTTGCCTTTGCAGTAATACTTTATGTATTTCAGTGAGTAAAAGTTATGAGCCAATGTAGTATAATGGCACACTGTTTAACTCATAATTTCTTTTTTTGTTAGCTAAGGACACAGATATAATAGATGAAGCCATCTACTACTTCAAAGCAAATGTTTTCTTCAAAAATTATGAAATAAAGGTAATTTTTTTAGATACTATGCATAGAGTAGTTCTTCGGAGGGTTGGTGCTGTGAATATAAATTTATTTTTTGATGAAATAATTCTATTAGATTACAAAAAGTCCCCATCCTTCCCTTTAAAGTTGGATAAATGTCATGAATTTCAAGTCCCTCTCATGGGGAAATCATAGGCCAAAATGGCTTGAACTTACTCCTGTTTCAAATTTTTATCCATTCCATAAAGTCTCTCTTAATCTAAGTGTAGCTGGGCTCTGTGCTTGCTCTTGTTTTGCAGAACGAGGCTGACAGAACGCTGATCTACATAACCCTCTACATTTCTGAGTGCTTGAAAAAGCTGCAAAAGGTAAGAAAAGTGAATTTCTGTGCAGGAGGGAAACCAATTCTGTTCTGGGGACTGTACTCTGGAGAGGATTTGCTGAAATTCTCCTCCCAGTGTCATAAATAATGGTGTTTACCTCAGTCCCAGTGGTGAGCTATTGATACTCCCAAGACTGTGGATCTCCAAAGAGAAGTGGCGTTGTTATTCTTGATGAGTTATGTTACACATTGGTAAAATGTTTGGGTGTAGTGCTGCAGCAGCTTTTGTTAATCCCTCGTTTGCCTGGTCCTTCTAGTGTAACTCCAAAGGCCAAGGAGAGAAAGAAATGTACACCCTGGGAATCACCAACTTCCCCATCCCCGGGGAGCCGGGCTTTCCGCTCAACGCCATTTACGCCAGGCCTGGCAACAAGCAGGAGGAAGGTAAGGCCAGCCTGGGGCCTCTGAAGGCTTCCGTGGGCTCATAAGGTACTAGCTGCAGTTCTGTGACTGCAACTAGAAAAATGACCATTAGAAGTGAGTCTCTAACTAAACCAGTGCAGTGGAGCCCACGCCGGCTGCTGGACTGGCAGAGTACGAAGCCCACAATAATGAGCAAATGTAACCAAGAGAAGAAAACAGTTTGGATGGTACAAATATTTTTTACTGGTACAAATACCATAAAAATCCATAAAATTCAGCTGGACGTGGTGGTGCCTTGGCTGACAGCAGTTTCCCTGTGCTGTTTCAGAGGTGATGAGGGCATACCTGCAGCAGCTCAGGCAGGAAACTGGTCTCCGCCTTTGTGAAAAAGTGTTTGATCCTCAGAGTGACAAGCCTAGTAAGGTAAGAGTTCAGTGTCAGGTTTAGGGTGAGATTTGGGGAGCAGGGAGGTGACGGGGTGAGGGATCAGCTGCAGAGAACTTTGGCACGGGCTCCCCTGCTTTTACAAGGCTCAGGAAGCAGCAGGCTGGAAGTTATCGATCCATTTAATCAGTAACGTGGTGAGACAGCGAATGCCAATTTGGGTTACTTTAAAAAGCAGGGCAGTAATTAGTGGTGGCTGGTTCAGCTTCAAAGTATTGCACATCTGCTGTTGGCTGGGTTTTCAGCTGGAAGCTCACAGGCATGAGAGATGCTGCTTTTCTTCCCGGGCAGTTCTGATTTGATAGCTGCTTTGAAGTAGGTTCTTTTGTCTCATTTCCAGATTTTAAAAAAAAAAACAGCTAATCAAATTGCCTCCTCACTGTTCATATGTTTCATGTGCAAATGTGGCTGCATTTAGTATTGAAATTATTGAGGCTAATTTAGTTTCTAAGGCATGGCTGCATCCCTTCTTTATAATTATATTGGAATACATATATTGGAAGAAACACTAAAAATAAAATAATAGAAATATTAGAAAGTAGAATTTCCCACTTTAATTCAGAGTCCTATATGATGGATTCATTTAGTCCCTTCCTGTCTTCTTGTTCTAAATTCCAGTAGAAACCAGTGTGTAAAACTGGAGCCATAGCATTTTGTTACTTGCCAGAGGTGGGATACTTTGAAGTCAGTGCTGTTTATGGCACAGCAACTGCTTCTGTGGATTTTCTGACTTTGTGCTTCCTTCTGCAGTGGTGGATCTGTTTTGTGAAGAGACAGTTCATGAACAAGAGTCTGTCAGGTCCTGGGCAGTGAAGTAACAACAACCTTAAGCATTGCTACTGCAAGGTGTTTAAGTATTTTGCCTTTGTTCTGGATATGTTTTGTATCAAGGAAGAACCAAGTGCTTATGAAGAAAACAAACAAACAAACAAACAAAAACCACAAAACCAAAACAACAAAACCCACAAACCAGTCAATGAGGGAGAGCAAACATTTGAGTAGTATAAGCAACTATTATTAAGCTGGTGCTTAATAAGTGATCTCTAACATGCTGTTTCAGATGCAAGCTGATTTATCATTGGTGGCTACAGCCAGCATTTCAAACAGGGCTTGTGTTTAAGAGAAGAAATGAGCTTGCCTCTGGGGCAGAGGCAGCTGGGTAATTGCTCTACTGGCTAGAGTCTCAGCATCAAGTGTCCACAGAAAACATACCTCTCATGCTGTGTTGTCAAGTGCAGTGATTTTTACCTTCAATAAACAGCTTCTAATTAATGTGGTAACTACTTTGTGTCGTATGGATAGCCTTCAAAGAAATCAGAGGGTTTTTTTTTTGTGTGTATCAGAAGGAATTGAATCATTCCCACTGAAAACAGAGGACTGCTAGAGGGGCTGTAGTTTGTGGCAACGTACCTGGTTATTTAGCAGGTCTCCCTCTGCAGAGCAGAGCTCCCTTGTACCAATGTGCCTTCCAAGGGATGTGGGCAGATCACACACGGCTTGTTCTGAGGCTGCCTTTGTGATGGTGGATTCAGCCTAACGCAGCCATCACACAATACCAGCAAAACCTGATTGTTTTGAGCAGTCAGATGACTTCTTGAAGAACTGCAGATCTGAGCTGGGTTTTTCCCAAGCTGTCTCTTTCCTTCATGGAATACTTGTTTCGCTGTCACCACACAGCACCAATGCATTTCTGTGTTAATTGATCTGATATCCAGTGCAGTAATGTTTTGCTGCTCGTTTGTTGAGAGGTGTATTCCTCTCCAGGCAAGTGATGGTGTCTTCAAACTGCATGTGGCCACTGATTTGTAGTAATAGACTAGCCATGTTTTGCATTCTTTGCTATAAAAGGGGGGAAAAAACCTTTATGATTCAGCTCTCCTTTGAATCTATGCCTTGTAGTTAGTGGTGTCCCTAGTGTGGTGTTTCCCCTGGTTGTGGCGCAGAAGGTATCTAGTTTTTGAAGGGTTCTCAGCTTCCTATTTTTATAGGCAGGAACGTCGTTATCTCTGATACCTGTCACGTTATCTGCTGGTTATGGCAGCTCATAGTCCCAGGATTAGAAGGACCAGGCTCAAGTGCTGTGCAGACAGGAGGAGCGTATCTCGTCGATATAGCAGGACTGAGCCGCGAAGGGGCCGCGGCAGCGCCCTGTGCCCGGCCCGGGTCCCCCCACAGGGCGCTCCCCTC